TGAATTGATGTGTTCTGTCATGTGAGCGGGACTATTTCAAAATTACACATGAAATATTCAAATCAGGGGTGTTTTTCATGTAAAGTTTGAGATGAGATTAGGGGTGGGAAACTTCAAGTCGATGATGATTTAAGGGCTCGACACACGGGAGGCGACATCGCTCGCTCTCCATTCATTGGAGCTGTGCGGTGAGGCGACAATAGCTTGCCCTCCTCCAGCTAAGCGACCGGCGAAAATAGTGCATGTGAAATTTCAYGCTCGTACACGTAGACGTGCACACGCGAGCTTGCGACGCGACATATGAAAGTTGAAAAATGTTCAACTTTTGTCGCTGTCGCTTAGCGTACAACCAATCAGCGAGGGTTTCATTGACTGACCAATGAGAGGAGCATATGCTACACACTGCAGTTAGCTAACACTTTCACCAAGTGATTACTAAAAAAGGCAGCTTTGTGGGAATTTATTGGCACCAGGGTGAAGTTTATGGTAAGTTTTTCCTCATAAAACTGTATCTTGATGTGTGTTTGTTTTTCAATATCATTAGCATCGCAAGATTTGTTTAGTTTACACGTCCGTAATGCACACCCGCCTTCAGAGTCAAGAACCAATCAAATTTTGTGAAGACAAGCGACCTGAGAGCGCGATTCGCAACGCTGTGATCGCTATCGCGTCTCGTGTGTCGGGTTTCACCCTGGCTGCGATGACAGCCGTTAATCGCTGTAGTTTGTCGCTGCCCGTGTGTCGAGCCCTTTAGAGGGCACCGATGCATCTCAGTGCAGTCATGATCATACTTGAAACAAAACCCGGAGCAAAAGATTTATTAAACCTACAAGAAAAACAAGTTGATCTTATTTGATTTCAATTCTTTGGGCCACAATTTGATTTGAATTCGATTCAATACTGCTTTAAATGCTTCAATATCAACTTTGTAATAATAAGAAAGATGCAAATAATTCATTTGAGTGCCAGAGGATACATTTTTAAATATTTTTGACCCATATAAACAGAAAGGGTACACATTAACATTTTTGATGAATAAAATATCTAAAAGTAAAGCAGTAACACAATAGCACTTGTTTTAAATATGTAGTTCAATCATATAAAAAGGGGATTTAATTGAATCAGAGGATTTTCTGAATTTATTTTGAATTGAAAAGATGCAATAAAATCAGGCTTCAAAATGTAATAAACTCGCGCTAAAAACACATTATGTAATAAYTGATGCAAAATGTAATAAAAGTCTTCAACGCATTTTGTAATACTCTCAGCCACATTATGTAATAAAGTTATTACATTTTGCRGCAATTGTTACCGAATGTGGTGGTGTAATAATCTGGTGCATTATGTAATAAACAATCAAAAACCAGAATTTCTGTTCATCCTAATCAATTTCTGTTCATCCTAATCGATTTCTGTTCATCCTAATCAATATACTTCTAATAATTGTCATGTTGCAAATACTACACAATTAAATCTTTATAACTTTGATTGCTCTATACATTCATATACCTGCAAAATGACCTAAAATCCATGTAAATTATGGACACTTCTTACAACTTGACATGGTTGTATTGAAACATAAATTGTAGGTGAGGTTACATTTTTGACAGGACATCTAAATAAAGAAATACTGGTTTCTAATTGTTTATTACATAATGCACCAGATTATTGCACCATCACATTTGGTAACAWTTGCCGCAAAATGTAATAACGTTATTACATAATGCGGCTGCGAATGTTACAAAATGCGTTGAAGACTTTTATTACATTTTTGCGCCAATTATTACATTTTACTGCGCATTTATTACATTTTGAAGCCTGATTTTATTACTTTATTACATAATGCGTTATTACAAAATGACGTCTTACAATAAATAAATTGCAATGTAATGAAGAATCAATATTTTTTACCCACCCCTATGTTAGAGCCAACTTACTTGCTTTTTTCATGTTTTCAGCAAATTTCTGTGTGGAAATGTATTTTAGTACAGTATATCTTTGACACTGGATTATCCTTTTCTATTGTTGCTCTAAAAGTGCAACATGTGTCTCTCTGGGCTGCGACTGTAATTATAGACTTACAATTGCAAGTCAGCCTTCTGTTACAGCTCCTGTGAATTTTGTGTTTGCAACTAAGCAACTAGCAAGCTCAGTATTTGTGTTTTGCACGCCCAGTTTATAAAAATAATCAATTTTTGCATTCACGACTTGGAAAACTGTGTTCTAAAAATGTAGACATTATTTTTTTGCCCACCGACGCCCACATCATATCATGCTGCAAACGTTTTGATGTATTCTGGAGGCTAACTAGTCACCAAACGTCTCAGCCCAGGGAGGTATTATCATTAGACTTGGTAGAAGCAAGCAGCAGTTTTTCTTCTTTGAGTAGTGTGGCTCTCATGTGGTCATTTTTCCCTTTAACTTCATAGAAGCTGAAGCACTTCAAAACATAAAAAGTGCCACTTTGTTGTCGTCGCAGTTGTGTGCACACCATAAAAGCTCCATGCACCTCAAAGTTCTGCCCTTCGCAAGATAATATTGATATATTTGTTGCGTTTTGGTGATAAGTTGATAAGGAATCATTCAAGTCGGCAACACAATGCAACACAAAACAAAACAAAACTAATTATAATTCTCACCAAGTTGTGTTGTTTATTTGCCMTAAATTAAAAGAAATGAAGAGTAGTTTGAACAACCTGTCCCCTGTTTCAGCTCAAGAATGACATCACGACACAAAAATGTTAAAGGATCAACAGATAGATGTTGTCGACACTTAAAAAAGAAAAAACAACAACATTGTTATCTTTGTTGCTTGGTTGGGTGAGACTTACACAATGAATCCTACATTCCCTTCATTCAGATAAACCTTATCTTCCTGTTAGAATTTTGTGATAAAGACCTCTGTTTTTTTCTACCAAACATCTTCATTTGGTATGTTTACAAGAAAACTTCTTCCACATTAAGGGTTTGTTTACATTTCATTAGACTACTAAATAAAGATTTAACCTTATTTATCTTATCCAGGATTGTAAACAAAATTATAATTGGGTTTAAATATTTGCTCAAGCTTAAAAATCCGAAAAGCAAAATCCTCGGAGCTCTAATCCGTTATAGTACTCTCATTAAAGYGAACTTTGGTGCCAAAACCTGTGTGTGAAAAACACATTGACCTGTTCTGCAAGAGTGAAATTTATGTGACACTCTTAAAACACATTATATCACTTATTCAGCAACACATACAGCCAAATTCTATAACTTGTTTCACTCTATTTTTTTATTGTTTTGCACATTTATCTCAAAAGCCAAATCAAGGTTACACACCCAAACTATTGTGCASAGCATATTCACAGCTCCATGCTTCATTTATCATTATGGTGAAAAAATAAAAAATGAAAAACATGGATTAAATCTCTAAATTCCACCTGGGCAACTAGTTTGATGAAAGCCAACAACAGGTGAAATTTAGCTTTGCTTATCAGCTCCATTCATTTCARACTGTAGCGCAAGCGTCATTAAGAATCGCAAAGCACCCTTCTTGTAAAATAAAATACCAGGTTGCAGCACCAGACTTTGAAGTGTCCACCCATATTTCAGAGGATAAGTGTTCGCTGAATGGCAGCCAACTTCTGAGGCAGTGCTGGCTCTCTGAGATACACAAGTGACGAGCAGTGACGGTCTCAGGCTATAGGGGAAAGATGATAGCCAAGTGATCCTTTGGCTGATGAGGCCTGAGGCTTTTCAGTTTGATCCATCAATGAGGTGATAAATGTAGAAAAACCAAGAGAAAAGACAGGCTGCTGGACGTATTCACTGACAATTAGCGCAAAGTGCAATCGTAAGTCTCATTTAATCCCCCAAATGTGAGGCAGAGATAATTGCATGTCACAAAGTTATTTAAAAAGTTGGGTCCAAGAAGTGAGACATTCCAAAGGTCTGATTGTCTTGGACAAACATGGCAGATGTGTCTTAAGCTGACATCATCCCCGTTCTTGTCTGTCCTCTTGGAGGGACCAAAACACCCCTCCTGTTCTTCGACAAGAACAATGTGCCGGGGCAGCACCACGAGGCCAGCGAACCCCAGATAGTTGCACTTTAGCGCTGGATACCAAACCGCCCATCATGAGATAGCACCCTTCTCACTGTCAACCACACTTCAAGAAATGAGGTTAAATGGCACTATCACACAACATGGGAGTCTCTTCTATTTTTATTAAATGTGCTGACAGATTCTATTCTGCAGAAAAAGAGGGCGTGCCATTCTTGGAAGAACTTATAAATAAGCACTGAGGCAATGTCGATGATTTCTTTTCATCTTTTTTTTTTCTTGGCACGATTTTACGTTATTTTGGAAAAGTTTTCACAGTGCACAATGATGTATTTTGCAAATTTATCTCAATCTAAATTCTAAGGCATACTTTAGATGGTTACGTTCGGTGAAAAACTGAAAGCTGCTGTTAATAATTGAGACAGACCTGTTTGCCTTTAATTTCTTTGATGTAATGACCCTTTAAACAGCACTTGCTAGACGCRATTTTAAGCGTTCAGAAATACTTCCCTCGGGGAAATTCCTTTGATAGCAACAACCGTGGTGACCAAACAGTCTTGCCTTATCGACTTCAATCTTTTTCCACTGAGCCACTTTGCTGTTGTGAGAAAACCTGTGTAATTCAATGTAACATCACCTTTTAATCACTCATGCTTTAAAAAAACATCAGATGTTTAACAGTTTCCAAAGGTAAAATGGGTTCACGGCTATTGTGAGGTTATGCTCAAATACAGAAGTGCTATAAAGCCCCACTGATGTTTAGGAGTATTTTGTCAGTTTTACATATTACGGTCTTGGATTTGGACGAAGCTGTTTCTCAAATTTACAATTTTTACTTAAATGTAGATGTAAAAATTCAAAAGACCATACTGAGACAAAAAAATAAAACAACCAAAACACAAAGACACAATTACAAGGTAATATTTCCCTGACAGAACTTAATCATGTGACTCACCCAGCAGCTGGACTCCTCTGGTAAGGCCGTAGACATCTATAAGAGCCCAAAGAGGTTCCACAACGTGTACACCACTGAAGAACAGCATGGGGCTGGAGTTGTTGATCCGGTAAAAAGCTCTGCCCTTCTTATCCACCCAAAAAGAGATGACGTTGCCCTCGTTGGACAGTTCCTCTGGCAGGGCTTTTGCCCAGAAGCCACTTTGGCAGACCAGGTCGGGGCAGGCGTACTTGGGCAGAGTGTCTGGATTGATCCTTGATGGGTCTTTTATTGTGAAACCAAGGCGTAGTGCGCCGCTCCAGCAGCATTGCTTCTTAGTTATCTGAAGAGTACATGTTTGGGATTAATAAATAAACTCAGACAAACATGAAAGTTTGCCCTAAATCCATCTTTTTTTTTTCTTGAAGAAAACCCAAAGRACAACAAAAAGGCATTTTTAAATGAATATTGCCAAATGTCTGGCATGATTTGTTAAGGCTCAGAATATATGTTGGAGATGAATCTCAGCTACAACCACACCACGTTTTAACTGAACAGCTGTGATATTTACTGAGCTATGGCAGTGTTTGTGTTTGCAACGATCACTTGGCTGTGACAATAAACTTGAATTGGGTTGACCCCAAAGGTTAATCAGTTGTAGATGTCTATCCASCATCTACTCAATCATTCATAAAATACTTTGCTAAGAGTCAAACAAACACACATGCAGGCAGCTACATGATCTTCCTTCTATGGCAGCAGGTCCTATAATGAGTCGTTGTGACAGAATTTATCCATGTGAAGGAAGTAACTTCACTTTAAACTGTAATTTGCTTTATGGTTATATTTACAGCCACAATCTCAAGCTAATTTAATGTTTGTTCTTCCTAAAATGATTTTCATATTGTGTACATTTGTTTGAGTGCATATTTATCTGCAGGAGAAAAGCTTTATGGCCTACTTTTCATATCAACCAGATCTTTGTGTAACACAAAGTGAATATAAAGTACTAAAGTACTAAACATGCATTATTTGTAAACAACTAAACAAAAGTAACAAAAGCTGCTTCCTTTGACCTAATTAAGTAGCCCGCCTGAGTTTAACCTAATAATGTGCAAATACAAGTACAGTGATGAAAAAAAAGAAAAAAAAAAGAAAAATCCTGTCCTAAGAAATTTAAGTGGCGTGTTTAAATTACGCAACAACTCTGCATCACCCTTCAGCCACACTTATGGGAGCTAGTGTACAGTATAATGGTGACTTAATTGTGCAGCAGTGCGCCAATGCCAAAGGACACTGTGTGTGCACATCTTGTATTCATTGGAAGCTTTGACAGGAGTATTCACTTACTGGTTTCATCATATGCTTTGGTCAAAATGTGTTAATGCGTAAAACGTTAGCAGCAGCAACGCAAAATCCTTTTCTTTGAATTTTAGTTAGAAATAGCGTCAAGAGGTCAAGAAGTTGAGTTAAACAAGAGGAGTATTGTAAATAATATGAATTTATGGCATTGAAAATAGCCATACGAGGTGTAAAGTCTACCTAAAGCCAGTGTCAACAAAGTTCCCAAGATATTTGGACCAACAGAAAGACTAATGTTCCCATCCTGAGTGCCAAGCCACAAACTGGGCTAAAAACAACATCTCCGTTTCAGACTCACTAAATCCGGTTAGCTTGGTACGTTTATCACCTGCAAACAATTTTTGTCTTATTTTGCTCCTCTATTTACTTAGTATTTACTGYGCACGATAAGGTCCTCCTCATATGGCAGTGTTTGCTCTGCTCTCTCACTTTTGAGACATAGATGGTCTGATAAGTGAAGTGGAAACTTGTTCTAAGCTGCCGCTGCCCTGGCCCACACAAGGGGAGGGAGGGAGGTGGGGGGAGAGAGA